TTTTGGCGGCTTATCGAATTTATGTAAGATGATGGACAACAAAGGCTTCTGCGGGTGCTGGCTAGTCTTTGAGATTTTAATAGAACACTACTAACTAAAGCACGAGTTTATATAAAATGGCCATCTCAGACTCACGAAGAATAGATGACTGACAGACTATAGCGTACAGCAGCGTATGAACGTCGTTTGTCTAGTCGTATCCTATGAAGTCAAATCAATTTAGGCTAGATTGTAACATGTCTGTAAATAAGAATCTGCAAAATGATTTCGGTGTACTTGAGTACTACTTAGTCTCTAGCCGATAATTTCTGTTACGTAGACCAGACGGCTATAGCCATAATAATGAGTTTTTCTAATTATAGAAAAACATCTGTAGAAGTCATTGGTTATTGTCTGAGTATTTATAATGGGGTCACCTCTCCAGACTACTCAATGTAAGCGGTATATATGTAACACTACAGTTTGCATATAAACATCAGACGTAAATGGCCATATTCGCGGTAACTTACTCGGGCCTGAAGCAGGCAAAATAAAGTTCTCATTTAAACAAAAACGCTGTGCTCCCCACCAGCTCCTTTGGTAGCACTACACACTATAGCAACATACATGAAGTCCAGCTGAATCAGTAGCCACTTCGAGAGATCGAAAAAGTTTCTGTTAGTGATGACAGAGAACTTCACGAACGGTAGGCCAGAAGATATCCATCGATAGCATCGGTTCTTTCGCATCCCCTTAGAGTGGAATTGTCGCCAACATTTATCGTACACACATCGCTATGGACCAAACTGAGAACCAATATAGCGAATGATGCAATCCGTTCCAGTGAAGCTTGTGAACCACCCTATGAAGCACAAAGCTGCGTCTTTCTGGGATCTCATCCAAACATGTTGAACATACGGTTCAATCTAAAATTGGAACGCATAGAGGACATCATTAAAATGCCTATAATATAATTATATCATGATATTATAGTAATAATGTATATTTGCCTATATTGATGATTATAATCATATATACGAAATTTTTTATTTTCTAATTATCCTTTCGCTTGTTTTTCAGGTGCTGGACATTTTTTCAAGAAAAACAGCCCCAATTTAGTGAGCGAGCTCACTCGACGACGTGCGAAGTTTCCTTTATACTGCCCATAGCGTTTATGTGAAGCTGCAGCAGTTGCCGGCGATTCTTTATGAACATCAAATACGGCGTAAACCTTGAATGGTAGCGGCTAAGGCGCGCCCAATGCTAACAACCATAACAAAACAAGTGTAACGACAATAACAGTGACAGAAATCATCACGGTAATAACACCACAAAATAAAAATACATTCGTTTTGCCGACAATAAAAACACAACCAGAACATTGAGACAGTAAGCTAAAGATATAAGCCGCTAGGTGGCGCCTGTCGCCGTCATGGTTAGCGGTAGACTAGACAATTGCCTAGCAGCAATGCTACTATATTGAATTTTCTACTTATTTTGTGGACTATTATTGAACACTGCTTTGATCGACTTCAACCGAATTTAAAATTTGGTTCATCCCACAATCGTAGAACGGCTAAAGATGTTTAATTAACAGAACGTAATCGCAGTCGATGACGAGAAAATTTTGAATTAACTTACTTGTAATTATATGGGGCCACTAACTGGCAGAGTGAACGTTTCAACAGGACCGAATAATAAATTGAACGCGAAATAATAGATACGATATCAAGAACGTTGTATTTACAACGTTACTTTAGAAATTGACTACAAGAGAGTCGAGACGATTGTTGGTGTTGAAAAACATCTTTCTGGACCTTTTCTCAAGTTACTTTTTTCTGAAGTATGAAGAAGATTAAATGAATCTGCGCGAATACCAGTCTCCGATCCTTGAAGCGACAGCGTGAGGTATGTAAGTGCTGTTTTTACAGTGAGTATTGACGTCAGATACAACTTGCAACTTATCGCTGTGCGTCTTTCTGTGTGACTGTACGTGTGTAGGTGTGTCTTTGTGTGTAAGCGCGTTTTTGAAATGCTAGTCAGCTATTATGCTATGGTGTAAACAGGTCTTCGGAGTCACCTTGCAGCACTGCTTCGAAACTCACAAGGGGAGCATAATCGACACATATATCTGCGATCTGGAGATGTCTTGACATGCCGAATAGCTTTTAAGGTAGCGTAAGGTATTCAACGTCAATGTAGCGCGGACGGTGGGGACCACGTAAGGACTGGGACCGAAATATGTTGAAGCGCTTTCAGATGCTACGGCGCTGTACCTAGAAAAAGAACTTAGAACAACCTCCGGCTTATTTAGTGATTTTCTACAATTGAACGATAGTAGCACATGGTTAGATCAAAACACGCACAAAATATAACGTCTTCTCTACCTTATCGTGCTGACATTAACTGAACGTTATAGCAGCGAAAAGTATGCTTGGCGCTCGATGTGTGTGTTCATGTTGCTATCTCTTTGTGGTCATTAAGCGTTCTATCTACAACCTCTACGAAAGCTTAAGATCGGCTGACTCACTAGTCTCACCCTTATTATTACGCTCTTAATACTCCCTGTCGCCGCACAGCTGCCTTACTTAATAATACCAAAGTGATATTCTGTAAAACTGCTACATTAAAACATGCCCCACTACTGATCGGATGGGCCGTACAATGAACGCACTTCTAGAAATGGCAACGTACTTATTACTTTAAAAAGCCTTTCCTCTCGGAAACAAAAATATATCACACAAGTAGAGTTCCAGGCTTCACGCAAAAGACATCGACTAACGTAAAAGGTTTTGTTGATTTTCATTGCTCTTACTCGTACCTTAAAAAGGAAGCTTCTTCTTTCTTGAAAGCCACTTTAATGCGCTCTATTTTGCAGCCTGTCAACAATCTTTGATAGATCGGATAAAATAATTCATAAAACGTTCACGTTATCCTCTATCTCTGTCAGTGTATTCCAAGAGTCTCTAGGAATGAGCGCTGTTATGATAAACACCTGTTCGCTTTCGGATTTTTCTGGAAATGGAACGACGCCCGGCACGAATATTACCGTTACGTTTTTGACCGAAACTGTCCCGCCAGCGTATTCTAATTAATCGTAGCCTTTGCAAGCTAGACACCCTATATACGCACAGACCTTTGTAGAATTCTCTTAGGAAAAGCTAGAAAATGCTAAGTCCGCAATCGATGCACCTTTGCGACAAAAAGGCAATGGCCACCTTCTACTAATTTCACAAACCTCTAACCCACTGTGTTTATTATTAATAACGTTAATATGTTGGACTCAAGAGGTTACCTTGCGCTGAATTCCTCAGGACAATCCTGTCTAGGAGAGGCCATACCGAATTATCCTACCCGTACATCGTATTCTGCTATGTCTGAATTCTGTGTTGAAAAATACGTTCTTAGCTTGTTCGACATCATTGCTTTGGAAGAATGACGTTTGTGCAGACGTAAATGAATGTAGACGATCGATAGAACTTCGCTCACGTACGCTCGTCTGTTTGTTTACTCCGCATTATCGAACTGTAACAGATCATTTATAAGACCTTCGTTTCTAAAGATCGTTTACGGCTTAGTTATAACCCGTGATGCTTTAGATGCGTATGCTTAGAACGACGACGGCGTGTTAGGTCTTGAATCCAACATAGAATTGTTAAGATTTGAAAAATGCAATAATACTTGTATCAGCTAGCGGTTAGCTAGCTGTCTGCTTAAACAACATTGATGCGACTCTACAAGTTTCCGGTAAAGACTCGTATCAAAATTATTATTTACTATGTTTTGTGTTTATAAAAGTATAAGAGGGTTTGGGGTTATAGAATTGTTTGAATTGCTATATCTTAAATATATAGCTATTCCCATTACATGTTTAGGATCTATGCTGGTATATTTAATTGGGCCGATACCTGCAGCACGCCTTTACACGAGGTTTGTTAGGAGTTTTGCTGATCGGTCAGTTTGAGAGGTCAACAATAGGCAAATTTTCAGGGTCCGCCTATACTCGGAAGAAGAAAACACGAGATATACAGGTCATCCCTCCCCATCTTGCACAGTTCCTGTAGGGCCAACCTGCTGCCTCGCGTAGCAGCTGTACCAAAGATACCCTGCTCCTTATACACGTGACTTGTTGAGAAGGGTGAATTCGAGTCCCGGCAAGGGAAAGATCGAAGGCTTTTTCTAGGACCTAAATCGCCACAGGCACTGATAAGATGGCCGGCCAAAATCATACGAAGAGGAGCACGAGAAGATTACCAGCCGGCTGATATCCCACGTAAGATGGCTGTCGACGTCTCTTTATCATTTGATTCGAAAATGCAGCCGCAAGAGAGATAAGGCGCTGCCCCGAGGAAGCACGACAAAAAGCGGTCGGCTAACGACTGTGACGTCTGACGGCGCCGATGAGGAGGCGCGGTCAACTTGGAGGCTACCTATCGCCACCAGCTAAGAGTGGCCAACAACTTTTTTGTAGCTTAAGCCAAAGTGTAGCGTTGCATTATAGATGGCGCCTTACAACGAGTACATTCAAGTACCAGTGTACTGCTATTCCATGAACCAGAACAAAGCTAAATGGAGTTTTGTTACTCGTCTTAGTAGTTAGACGCGGACGTACGCCAATGAACTTACTTAGAGTTTGAGTGTAGAATATATTACCTGTATTAATCGCAAGAGGCGGAAAGAGATGGAAGAAGATAGCGCGCCGTTGCGTCAGCCCAAAGTTTTCTTTCATCACCACCAAGTGGAGGTTTGAGAGACAAAGACACTTGCTTTTTCTGATAGAGACCACATCGCATCATATATCAATGTTACAAGCTCGCGTTGTGCAGAAGGGGAATGGGGAACTCTAGACGACATTGTATTGCGCTAGAGAAGCGAAACGCCAACTCAGCCTACGTTTACTGGTGCCAGCGTTTCTGTAGGAGCTTTCTGTCGACACATGTTAAAATGGCAGTGTTTGCTACGATCTTATTGTATCTATGCTGCGCTAAAGGCCTCCCGACAGAAATGCTATGAAAACTTACTTAAGCCAACGATGATACTGCGTGACGAAAGGAGTAGAAGTGTTGCTGGTAGATTTTTAAATGTATTTATTCATAGTTCTGACATTTTAAGCATTATGCAAATCGCTCATTGAATGATCAGCACCTCCATGCGGGACGGTGTTGTGAATTTTACTAGTGTATCAGTGTGTCCCAATCTGTAAAAAGCAATGAGATTTAAAATGCGGTTAGGTGTTTTTCAACGCACACCGGTCAGAATCTACTGTCGACTAGGTAGTTCGAAGTTTAAAGGAAACTTTGAACTGCCTAGAATGGCTTACTGGTATTTTTCGTTTCATTAAATTTACCAATCAGTGGAAGCTTGTCACACGATCATCGACGAGACGTCCATAGCACACAAGATTATTTCAATTAAATACAGTGATCGTTTTTCTATTTAGAACACTATCGAACGACAGTGTAGGGCCGCAACGTACGGCGGCAGAAGGGTCCGATTTATTGCGGCAAGAATTACACACATATATATATATATATATATATATATATACATATATATATATATATATATATATACATATATATATATATATATATACATATATATATATATATACACATATGTATATATAAATTGAATTGTTTACTCCACTTAAAGAAAATCATAAATGCCCAATATGCATATTAGCAGAGGTAAAGCATGCTTACCTGGAGTCACCTTATGACCTGCCAAGGTTTATATCAACTCGTTATTATATCATTAAAAAGCTTCATATTTGATACATTTACATTGACCGCTTCGCCCTGGCCATGCGAACAGTAACACGTTTCCGTATGCTAAGAAGTCTCGTGATTTACGTACGGCATACGCACATGCGAATTATAGCTCTGACAAATAGAGAACTTTCTATCAGCTGCCTGTTATGGAAAATTATCGGCGTCCTAAATGTAAGCTGGCTTTTCAAGAGGTATTGGGCTATTCAACGTTCTACGAAACGCCAACCTTAAATTATTTCTCGAGGTCAGGTCGATCGGGTTACATAAAGCTATTGTACAGGAATATAAAATAGATTTTTATGCTAGATCTAGCTTTGTAAGCTGGTCTGTCCAATGGAAATTTTCGCCCCTTTCATTCGTCCAACTAAAACGTATGTTTCTCAGAGAGGGTATGTAATTATACTTGCTATAGATAATAACTGACATGGTAGCTTCATCAGAATTGTATTCCTTACAAAAGTCATGTAACTAAATAAAATAATACGGATTCGACACGAATATGTCGCGATCGTGCATTGTCACTCAACCCGGTTCTCTTTAATTGATCCGGAAACTAGTGACCAAAAACTGACTTACTTTGTGCCCATTCACGTTTAAATTGACCCCAACATTTTTTCCACAAGTAGAAAAGTTTACATTATTGTAATTTTTTGAAAAGTTTTTTTGAATGTAGAATTTGAAATGACGGCCATGTTAAAAACTCTATGGGTTTGTAGCTGTGCGTTGACCGTCAGTTCAGCCTGATGCTTTCTCCTGTCACAGAAGTTCACTGTAGTATAAAACAGTTAAAGTTGTGGCTAACGTTCGACGAGGAGGCCGTCCGTGTCTACTAATCTTTGTGGTTCTAGTAGACGTATAGAGCCTACGGGTCTACACAGTTCCGCACAACAAACATATAATCTGCATACATCGATGTGTGAAATCATCCATAACCTTTTTGATATTAATAATTACGTTGAACCTCATCTCAGGCTGCACATTTATGGAAGCCCTTTTCTATAGGAGTGACGCAAAAATGAAAATTCATTGAAAAAAAGATCACAACAATACCTGTTAACAATGTCTACTAAAATCAGCACTATAACATAATTGAAAATGAAAGAGAAATAATATTATAAATCTTCTCTTTTCGATCAAGAATATTAGAAGAACATCGACATGGTAATGCAAGCTCGTTACGTACAGTTGAGTCAATTTAATTTTTTAAGGCTAATTAATATCAGAAAGCCGACAACAATCGTTTTTTTGATAAGGCTTCAAAAGCCAGGCTTTTATTCGTGATGAAGGATGAATGGATGAAGGAATAGTCTTTTGAAGTCGAAACATGTACTAGCCAAAACATGGCAACCGAATAGAATTGAGCGTAGTTCACTTTTAAATGTGTGTTTGATACTCTAGTAAAAGGAAAACCGTCTTTGACTATTTTCCAAATATTCCAATTATCACAGATGAACTATTTGAATTTTAAAGGACAAAGTCACCAAAAGTGCATATGTTTACCGTACACGCCTATCGAAAGTGAAGTCGTTACGAGGAGTTTCTTTAATTTTATCCTCTGATGTCACTTAGGTTATAGGTATTGCTAACAAACTCACCAGATAGCTGAGTTTGAAACTCCAACAACAATAGTAGACTATTTTCAAACACGCTATAGGTACGCCCGCGAGATTTCAATGTCTGGTCTTGATTTCGATCGACTTTTTCCAAAACACAAGCGGCTACCACTATAACTGATGTTTACCTCTATGACACTCAACACAGACGATTCCAATGCGATACCAATTCTCAAGTCATACAAAATGGTCGTCGTCTTTGGATTCTTTCTCTTTGTAGGTATACGTTTGTTCTCCTTCACAACCTGCTTTTAGGAACTTCATCAGGCGATAATAGGGAACGTTATCTGCTCATGAGCAAATTTTCTAAGGTATCACACAAGCAAATCTCCGGTTGCTGGAACGAACTGGAAGTCCTTTCTACACGTTCATCGTGCGTGCGCCGACTCTGCGGCGGTGGTTTCCTTTGTTTTGAGTTTAAAACTGCGTTAAGATGGGGAGCTGACGGGTGCAAGAGCAGCTATTATAAGGCAAGCCACAGCGTCCTCTAAACACTGCAGTCTATATATATATATATATATATATATATATATATATATATATATATATATATCGGCGCGCGAAAAGCATGCGGCCGCGCCGGAGCTGCCATTGCCTTGGGCGAAACAGCCCTCGCCACCATACGCGCTTTCACTTGGAAAACCAAGGGCACAAGGTACAACAGTGAAGTCTATGATATCGGTGATGTTGACGCTTGTGTGTTGATGATTAACGATCCTCCTTCCACATACGGATCCCCTTGTGAAGCTATTTGCGGCTCACCAATAACTGGCGAACATGTAGGAATATAGACATGGGTGCGCAGAGTGACTGACTGACCCAAACTATGATACGAGCGAGATACCAGACGATTGTGTGGCTAGAACAAACTATTTTCTATGTATCACGAATTACACAAAATCGAATAACCGCAAATCGATTAAGAACTTACAGTTTTTTTTGTCTTGCTGCGCGACTGTTCCATGCCTGAAAATTGTAGAAGACTCAGTGACCACGACCTTTCCTTGCGGCGATCCTCCGTAAGCCCTGCATGCATCAGCTAGCAAAGACAATTGGAACATTAGTCGTACTTTCGTTTTTTGCTTTTGCGTTCCTAATTGTCAATATTTAGTTGTAATCATATACTAGTTTTCTTATTTGGTTCGACAAAAATGTACTTGATATTTGACTGATTGGATTCAATTAAAACACGGACTTATGCAGGAAAACTTAAAAACTTGGAAAAATATTAATACATACTCGTTTCTTTGTACCTTCACGAAGGGCGTCGCAAAACTTACGCAGGCTAAATAATGAGACCTCCCCTGTTCATAATCATAAAAACTAGAGATCATAAGTAGAGGTAGCATCTCTTATTCTTAAAGTATGATACCAACAATTTAGGTCTCAATGATGGTTTCGTTTTCTTAGTACTAATTTTTTGCAGGCTCGTTAGGCACGAACAAATATTTATGATATAACAGACGTTAATAATGTGAATGAAAAACGGAAAAGTAAAAGACGATATACTTACATATATTTTTCGTAGATTATTATAATGTGTGTATAAATAAACGTGTAGGAAGCAAATTTTGAAAAAGCTAAACCTTAATGGCCGCCAGCATTTTGTTCTAAAGAACTTTCCATACTGACAATCTTTTTCAGTCATGACTATTTCCAAGCAGAACTAAAGATATTATTCTGAAAACTGAGAATAGGACTGGGTACACGGCCTCTGTTTAACAGGAGAACAATTGATATCTACTTGTCCTGCCAGTGAAACGAAAACCACCTTGATTCGCGTTATTGTGCGGTTGCAACCCAGAGTCAAATTGAAATAATCATAATTCGAGAGATTCGATATTGTCATTAAACTACACGACCAGTTCGTCTATCGAGACTTACATGCGAGATTTAGAACGGTGCATTTACCGTCCGGTAAGTATTATCGTCTGAAGAAGTGAGAAGGGTACATGTTCTCGTCCCTGATATGTAGAAAAGACTTCATTTCAGGGTAGTGCAAGCTTGCGTATATCACTCCGACACTCAGAGGTGTCATACAATTCATTGTTGTAATAGTGTTAGTTGCAATGCAATGCTTATAACCCCACTGAAATTACATTCGTCAGTGCAGACCTTCTACTTCGCAGCTGGTGTCTTCATTTTTGCCTACTTCGATTAAAAATCTGATGGTTGAAAGCTGTTTTCTGGGACTCTTCTAGTTGAGATGTGTACGACGCACATAGGAATAAGCACTTTTTTCAATGTTATTATTAGTGTTTCTCGAAGCCATAGAGCAAGGAAAATGACGAGACTATTTCAAGTGTTCCTTTTCTCGTAAACGAATGACGAGGCAAAAAATAACAGTAATAATAATTACATGTCGCTGATTACTCGGTAATAAGCAATACCGTAGTAAGCTCGGACATTGTCCTGACAATTCAATGAGGTGGAAGTTTGTTAAAATGGATTTCACTTTACTCAACAACGAAAGTTCCATTGTGTGGCATCGTTGATCTCTGGGACGTCGGTACGTTTGTACAGCCTGAGAAACATAACTGCGCAACTACATTTATCGTTCTGCGTGTGAGATCTGCCAGTATAAGCGACCTATGCATCGTGTATTATATAGAGTTGTTTGAAAAGCAGCCTTCGTGGATACCAAACCCCGAGGTGATTGTGCTGCGGTCTTAAGAATATCAGGGATAATGAAACTCTGTTCGCTACGCAGATCAAGGGCGCATAGAAGCAACATGAATGAGTCAACTTTCGTGTAGTCTTTCGTGTGAAGTTTCGGCAATGTCAGTCCAATTGCTCATTTCTACATGTCGCTCATTTCGATGTCACAAGACAATCATTAATACTGAGTATAAATATCTCAGTCGTAAGCAATTAGTATAAACATGTTATCTATACAAAAGATATTTGCTTAAAATGGTCTCGCAGCCTTAGTTAACTTAGCTAACAAACAAAGATCTGAATCTAGTCGAAGGGGATGTTCCTAGTAGTAACTTCACTCTACGCTCAATTCTACGCTGTGGTTGAAACTTTTGTTCTTTGGTTCCGGAGTAATATGGCCATTGTCCTAATTGTGTAGCGTCAAATGTACTACATATTGCTGTATCGTTCTATCGAAGTAGGTACAAATAGCTTCAGTGAACGGTAACGGGCAGCGTAGTCCGTGATGTAGGCAAGCCGATACAAATACCCTTCTGCATTTGTATTCGGCATCACCATAGGACAAAAGCCCGTCTCGATTAAATTCGAAAATTCGCAATTCTTGACATAGTTCATTATCAAAGAGGAGCCTTGAAGAAGAACGTATATCTGCGTGTGTACCCCTATGTTGCATATACTACCGCATTTATCCAACGCCCTTTGTGAAGAGAAAAAATGACGAACTATTACAAGTTCTACCCTAGAAGTCGAAGTATGAGTCAGTACGATTGAACAATAGGTGGCCAAGACCACTTGTCGGATCTGGATAACAACCTACATGTCATATGAAAATTGCCTTGCCAATTTAATAATAATAGGCACTTACCTTTTAGGTACGCCGATTGGACAACCTATGTTGAAGGACATGCAAGTTTGATCTTGTCATAACATAGTTTCTCGAGACTGTTTTCCCTCGGAATTCTATGTTTCAGCGAGATGACAGCGCACTTATCTATAAACTGCGTCGTAGCCCTTTAAGACTTAATTTTTAAACGGAGAACAAAAGAGGACTATTACGAAGTGTCCGGAATAAGTTAGGGTACAATAGCTGTTACTTAAGTTATATTCAAAGTAAGACGAACCTTTTATTGCATCTTTTTGCATTTGTGGACAGAGACGCCTTCATTAGAACTGTCTGTCTAACTAGTCGGTTCGATTACGGGTGTAATTATAAGGGGCGAATCATTATCGAATATTTATTTCTTAGTTCGTAAAGATTTTTAATAGAAATTATAAGTGAAATAAATTAGTACGCTGAGTATCATTCAAATGTGTTACACGCGAAGCAGTAAGTCAAATGTCCTGGACATTTCAGAGTAAAAATAGTGTAGAGAGCTGCTAAAAGTTTAAAAAAAAGCTAGTCCATATGCCTTATGTAGATGACCTGATCACGGATAAGTACGTTGCTCCATAAGGAACCGCCAATATCTGCGTCACAGTTTCAAAATCATCAGAAATTGCTTATTACTCTTTTACCGGTTTTTCAAGCCTTCTGAATTTGAATTTATATTGTAGATCTAGCTTTGCCTCATAAAAGTCTTCGTATTCTTTGCAGGACCGGCAACGATGTCGACTGTCGACTTTGAGTAATCAAGGATGCTTGTAACCTGGGTGGGGGTTCGTATGATGTGAAAAGATTAAGCAGTCCCTCGAAACAAATCTTCTGGCTGCGTCATAATGAATCTGCAATCTTAATATAGGAGAATGCACGTTTGTTCCGTCAAAAATTACCTCTGTTCGTCCGGAACACACTTTATTGCATTTGCAGAGATGGCGACTAATGAAGTATGTTTTTGGGCTACGACAATAACAGAATAATCACTGTTACTTTTGAACGATCCTTAGATCTTTTGTATTTTGGGCGACTTTAGTTACTTGTGAAGCACTGACTCAAACAGAATCCGACGGTTAACGCTAGCATACGATTACTTATCATGCACTGCCTACAAGAAAGACGAACACAGGTTTTGATACACACACTAGTCGATTTCATTGATACTTGCGATAAGACCCTTGCTGCTCTGAACGACATATAAATATTGACTTAAAAATTATATACATGCGTTTTAAGATAAGTATGACAACTCTACAACCTACATATATATATAAGTACATATATATGTACATAAGCATTGGTAGAGTCATTGGGCTTCAAATAATCGCAAATCTTTAACATTTACAACGGCTCAAAAACGCTAAGACAGATCTACTATGCCTAAAGGAAGATTTAGGCAGCACAGGGCAGAAATGTTGATGGTGTCTTTTTCTCACGTACAAATACATTTCAAGAGTCAGGGTGTACGACTTGGTGTCTTCAATGCCGTTTCGAATTTATTCGTGCTTCAGTTACACGTTACATTGATGTTTGGTATCACATGGTTAAATTAGGGAATTCTTGATTTGATCGTAGAAAATGATGAATGACTAAATAGAATTCATTGCGTTCAGCATACACGAATCCGAGCGTCAGAATGAAATGGTGAAATAAATTAACTTAGAAATGAGGTTAGTGAGGTGACGTTTGCTGGTTAGATAACAAGCCACGATCTCTTTGATTTTCGATTTTGGGTTTTTCTTTGTTGTCTGGCCACATAAGCGGTGTTAAAAAGAAATCAGATACTGCCCTGCCGAGTACTTCGCGCACCCTGCAGGTAAAAGATATTACAACTATCCCCAGGAGTACCACGCTTCTCAATGAGAAAACATCTGTGAAGAATCACAGTTAACATATGTTTTGCGATTAAAGAAGTTA